CACTACAACACCTGAAATCTACCATAGCGGCCGAAAAACATTATGGTATTATTTCATAGCGTTTTAATCAACGCTGTGTCAGAACCCGCTATAGTAGGTCTATTGCTTTACATAGCGTTTCCCCAAACTCTATCAAAAAGTTTCCAACCATAGCGTTTTTATGTAGCTATAAAAGAGTATTCAATAGCGTTTCTATATTGCTATGACAAATATCTTTCATAGCGGTTGAAAAACGCTATTAGTTAGTTTTCATTCATAGCATTTCAACGCTGCTATTGTCTTACATTTGATAGCGTTTGAGTTACTACAATAGCGTTTCAACGAATGTTGTCTTTCTTCTTTTAATAGCATTTCAGCAATTGTTTCCACTTCTTATTGCATTTCAGTTGTGCCTATAAACCTTTGAGGTTGAACTAGAAATAACTTCCAATTGTGACAATCATAAAAGAAAATATTTCATTTAAGGGTTCAAACTGATACATAACCAAGTTGTAGCATACAAGAAGAGTCAACACAAATGTGCCAAAAAACAAATACTAGTCTTTGGATAATCCAACATGGAGTACAAGAAATTAACCATAGTACACAGAACAACAAAAATTAACTTTGCTGCATTACATATGACTTGGGAGACTCATCATCTTCAGAAATTGAGTACTAGTACTGCTGCAAAAACAGAAATTAACAACACCAAAATTACAACTATAACAAACATGATAAAGTAAAAACACACGATTGCAAGATGTATAACTTACCAGCTTTTTAAAGCATAACAACTTTGTCTGATGGCCAAGCTATTGTCGTACCAACGACATCTTCAATTAATTTTGCAATGTGCATATATTCTTCTCTCATTTGATGTTGGCAATGCCTGTAGTTTTGCAAACAGGACACAAGTTTTTCATCATCAGCCACTGTTTTATGCAAGCGGTGTGGAAATCATGCCCACGGTCCAGTCTTCCGACCTCGTCCTCTTCGACATACTCTTCCTGTCAGAAACCGGAGGAAATTTCGTTGAAAGAGATGTTGATTTAAAAATATATGCACCGTGAAGTATTAACATGGATAAATTTTGCTTGTAATAATAAAATGCTTATAATAAAATGCTTATAATAAAAATGCTTAATTTGAAAGTTCATGATTTTTACCGGAATTTATAAGGTGTAGGTGACTGAAACAGCCAAACGTTGTATACGTGTACAAAGAAACGAACATAAATCAAATTTGCTTGTAATAATAAAATGCTTATAATAAAATGCTTATAATAAAAATGCTTAATTTGAAAGTTCATGATTTTTACCGGAATTTATAAGGTGTAGGTGACTGAAACAGCCAAACGTTGTATACGTGTACAAAGAAACGAACATAAATCAAATTTGCTTGTAATAATAAAATGCTTATAATAAAATGATGTTGATAGAGAAAAGTAAATGAAGGTTCTCATATTTTCCACATCTCAAGTTATGCTTGGAATTTTCCTATATCTCCTCAATTAATTTCTACTTAATCTTGAAATCAATGATGAGGCAAGGAGTTTCATCTTCCCATTCTAAATAGTATCAAAGTAGTACCAAAAGCATAGAACAATTAGTATTATTACTCTTTACCAAAATAGCAAATGTTAGCTTATCAAAAGTCAGGTAATAGCAAATGTCTGCAAAGCTATTGTATAAAACAAACTTCCAAAAGTTAGGGGAAGAAAAATTGCTAAGAGATCAAATAGGCTTATACCTGACAAATGCAGCATGATTCAACATCACTAGGGGTTTCCTCGGTAAGGGAAATATATTTCCTCTGCTTCAGGCACTTCACAATAGTTTCTTCACTAATTCCAGTGCTCACATTCCCTATTCTCTCTGTCAATGCAAGTAGCTCCTGTGAAAAGTTAATTAATGTCAGTGTTAAAAGTAGCTTACAAATATGAAGAAATTGATCGGCGAGCAACATAACTTTCCCTTATGACTTACCTCATAAGACATTATCAACATCAAGCCTCATATCTCTATGCCTGTCATATAATAACACTCTTTGTACAGCCTGTTTGAAAATTTTATGTTAGTTTCTACTACGCAAAGGGACGATGACCATACAAAACCACTAAGGGGGTCAATTTCGACGTGAAATGCTATGGTCGATCATAATACTGTCCATGGAAAAGCTCCATACGAGAGTGTATGATAGACTCCCAAAAAAATAGAACTACTAGGAAGACACACATTCATTTATAATCAGATCCGAACATTGATACATAACAGTAAGACATAAGACCTAGATAGAAAATTGACCTCTATGTGTAAATCTTCCCCTCTTCGTGCAAGCACATCACGTATCTGTTACAACAAGAGATGTGAAATATGGAACTATTAGATCCATAATATTGTTTAAGACAAACTGGAAATGCACATGCAATGTAGCAAGAACTAGAACTATCAATATGATTTTTTAGGCCTTCCACTAATGAGAAGTTAAGAATGAAGCACATTGACCGTATAAAATGCACGATCGTTTGATGATGTATTAGAAGAAAGAACATATATATTTATACTATGCACAAAAACAGTTTATAAGCTTTCACTAAACTATAATTGGTGGGATAAATAAACCAAAAGAAACATCATTAAATTGAAGAGATGAATTAAGTTGATACTAAAACATTTTGTTGGTAAATTATATCCATTGCTTCTAATATATATAAAATATCTATCACATTGCTGATTAAAGTCTACTAGTTATACATCAACACCTAACATATGCCATACCTATAAGAAAGAATTCAAGAAGTTAGATCTTTTTTCCATATCTGAATATTAATCAAATGATTTATCTTTTAATTTGAAAGGGAGTACTTTTATAAAATCTATTAACTTAAGAGAGCAGTCAATTAAAGAAAAAAAGTTAACTCTATACTTTCACCGAGAGATTGAGCTCATGGAGTGCATATATTATCAAAATCAAGATGAATGGCAAAAGCAAGAAACTACAAGACTTACTCTCATGGAGTGCATAAATCTTATGGAGAACCATATAGACTGTATCAAAAGATATGGGGAACTATATTAAAAAAATTGACATATTTGTAGTTACAAAAGTGTAAAACATCAGATTGATTCAGAGGCTATGCATAACTGTTGGAGAAAGTGAAGACTAAAAATTGGCATGCATTGCCAAATAAGAAAGATGATTCTGAACTCTGAACCAAAACAATAGACAAACTAACATGCGTCTAACTAGCTTCAGTCATCTAATAAGTGTGATCAGTAAAAAAGAAAAATCTGTCAGCCTTTTAGATGAAAGTCTGCAAAGAGGGTTGAAGGATAAGTGTAATGACCGTAAATTTTTAATACTGGTTTAAAAAATTTTTCTGGTATTTAAATATTAAATTTTATTTTAAAAAAAAAGTATTTGTATTTTTCCTAATTTTCTAGAATTTTTTATGATTTAAAAATCTAATTTTATATTTATGATTTTGATAACTATAAATTAATTTGTTGCAGTAAAAATCTTTTTTAAATTAATATTGATTATTTATTATTGTTATTGTTATTATTATTGTTATTAATTATATGTATTAATTTTTAGCTTGCACCATTATCCCCTACCTCTATTTATAGCTATCAGCTGATCAGCACGAAAGTCAATCTGTTATCTGACTTTCCCCTGGTTCCCTCATATCAGCCCCTCCGCCTCGCCGTCGAGCTCACTGCCAACCACCGCCTCCATCGTACGCCACGTGTTCGACGATATGCCAACGCAGATCCAATTGCAGAATCGCACACCAACAGCCCCCGTCGAACCCCGTTGAGCCTCAGTGATGACAACCACCGTCGTTGCCGTCCCCTACAACCGCGTCATTCAAATCCGCTGCTCCCTTTCAGACCGTCGTACCGCATCCGCAGCGGCACCGCTGCTCGTCATCAGGCCCCTGGCCTCGTAGGCAAGATCCCGCTCCTCTTGACTCGTCAATTCCTATTTATATCTGTCGTTAATTAGTTGCATAGATTAGATTATGAATTGCTATTATCTGCGTGAGTTGTTGATGAATAATATTAGGTAGATCGTGATAATCTGATAAATAACGTTTTCAGAATATTTATAATCTTAAAAGAAGTTATTTCGATATCAGAATTATTTTGAGATAATTATGCTAATTTAAAAAGAATTTATTTTGAGAACGGAATCATTTTAG